AAAAGAAAGCAATTGAAGCAATGTCACTTGCAACTTAGATGATTTGAGTATGGAGCGCTCTCTCATGATTGGTAGCCTCAATCATATGATGGGTAGTCTCTCTGCAGGGGGGTCCCATGTTCCCTTGATTCCCCCTTCAAAGGTCAATGCAGATGACAGCACTCCGACCCACCTTCGTGCAGGATTGTCAGCAGTCTGCAATTCCTCCTCATTCTTCCACTCTCTGCAGTCTGGCTCTGCCCGATTCTCCAACGTCCTGCACAGCCTCCTCATGCCTGCTCTCTAGCTCCCACCATTCACTTCCTGTCATCTGGTTCCTGAACTTCTGTATTTATCTGCCTCCACCCATTAGCTAGCTCCTCTGGGAAATGTAGTTTGTTAGCTTGTTATTAAACAGTGAAGTCCTGCTATCAGCCTACAAGTCCAACAAAGCTTTTCTTCAACAGAGTCTGTATAACTGAGCTGCAGAACACTGCCATCTTGTGTTTATTTAACATCCTGCAACCAGTATTACTGTAGGGTGTTACATGTCCCTGATACAGTAGATATGAAGCAGAAAGTTCTTTCAGGATGGTGCTTGGTACAAACTACTCGTGCAAAAATGTATGTGGAGCAAATTGGACCATGCTTTATATGAATGATTTATTGATCAATTTTTAGATCTTGCATAAAGTATTAATTTATTTTTCACAATTCATATTACTGATGGTCATTATACACATTTTATATAGTAGAAAGGCTTTTTCTTTTGCACTAATATTGATGTAGATATCATTTGGTTTGCATTTATAGAGATAAATTTGGTGAAGAGCGCTGTTCTAATCAACTAATTACATTTATATGTACATATTACCCTTCCTGTCATGGTCACATTTAGAGGAAACTTCATTTTTGGCACGCTTACTTTAGAATTTTGTAACAAATTGCAATATCAGATATGACATAGTATTTATTTAGGAATAAATGTAGTCTTCGTTTTGACACATTTGTCCATAAAACGTAAAAAAAATAATCCAACTTCCTCCAAGAAAATAATAGTCAGTACCATTGTCACCTTGAAATGACCTCTACCTCAGGGTGCATTTATACAACGAGATAAGGCCTAAGGTATTCTGTATAGATAACCAATTACTGTAGGTAAACTTTGGCTTCAACAATACATTATTTAAAATGTAAAACTCGGACACCAGTTTATTGTTCTCAAATACTTTGGATTGTTTTACAATCTTTGTATGATGTCTTTAGGAGATAACACTGTTTGCCAGAGCAGAGGACTGTAATCATGGCATTGGATTTTTGGTCCTGTGCGCAGTTAATTCTATTGACATCAAAGATTTATCAGCTGTACAAGCATACCTAGGCAAGTTCTAACACCTCAGGTTTAATTATGTCACCAGCGGATTACTTTGCTGTGAGATATGAATGCAAGGCAGGTTAGGTTATAAACACAAATAGATATACATTGTTTAAAGGAACTCCTTTGTCTGCATAAAAATAGAAGAAAATATTCAGATTCTTTAGAAGATGGTTGTGTTATGTTGGTCTACAGGCATTGATCCATGTACCACCTGTCTCTTATTTGGAGGAACTGTTCCTCTCCTTCTGTCACGTACCTGGTTGGAGGCCGACTTGATGAGCGCTTGCCTTGTGGCTGAGCGCCGAGCACCCCTGAAGGTGGGAACAGAGTGCAAGGCCCAAAGAAACACAGGTGCCCTTTAGGTAGCTCTGCTGGTGGTTGATGGCAGTGGAGTCCACCGGGTAGTTGTTAGCCGGTGTGTCAAGATAAATGGCAAGGCCTTGGTTGCCCTTGGAGATACAGCAGGACCAAGACAGATGGCACTCAAGGTGGTGGCATGGTCAGACTGGCAGGACCGGATGAGAAGAAGCATAGTCAGGATGGATGCTAACGTCCTATAAGGAGAGGCAAGCCAAAGAGAGGGCAGGAGCGAGGTCAGGAACGATGGCCAAGGTCAGACACAAGAATCCAAAGGAGCAGGCAGAAGAGTATTCAGGTGACAGCCTGGAGTCATGCACGGTTGGGCAGGAGAGGCAGAGGCCTTAGAGCAAGCCAGGGTCGAATCAGGCAGCAGAAATGTTGGTAGCAAGAGGTTCAAGGAAAACAGGATACACAGGAGCACTGGTAAATGAATATCATCCAGCAAACTGAGTGCAGTCACTATGCTTGTATAGAGTGTTTGGCGGCAGTCAGGCAGGTGTGCGTGAATGTGCGTCAGTGCGCGCGCCCACGCTATCAAGCATGTGTGCATACATGCATTTCTATGCAAACGAGCATGACCAAATATAGTATTGGCAACTATGCCAGGTCTTTTCCCCAGCACATGCTCATTTTTGTTCTGCTGTTTTCCCAGCACATGCCCACCTCTGCTCTGCATGGCACCCTGGCACCCTCTTTCCTCCTCAGTAGTGATGAGCAAGGAAATATGTAATACAATAGTGCAGCGCTAACTTTCAGCTGCTTATATTGTATTATATATTTTTTTATATTTTTTTTGCACTGTTTGGGTATCAGCTTGAGTGTAAGCAGCTGAAAGGTAGGGTTTGGGTTCCATAACAGCGCAGGAGGGATTTTATTATAAAGTGACGAGCAAGGGCTTCATCTGAACCTGGATGTATCACTTACAGTACGGTCAATCTGATGGAGAAATATCTATCAAATTCTTAATAGAGGTAGTGTTCTATCCAAGAGGACCAGGTTTGTTCAAATTTATGGACTGTAGCTTTAAATATTGCAGCTATCTCCTGAGATCAGGTGCCATGTCATTTTATGCATCACTTGGGTGATGGCTTTGGTAGATGACCACCATATTTAGCAAGGTTCCCTCAGGTGATTTACACATGCCCTTGTCCAGTATAGTATATGCTAACTGATACACACTGGTCCAGAATCTCTTGATCTTGGGACACTCACACCATATACTGTATGTAATAGGGAGCCTGGTGACTTGCATCCTCAAAAGCATCTGCCTGAGGGCATAAATGTTGCTAGATGCTGTGGCATCATCACATAAGCAGTTTGTAATAGGTTTCTATAGCTGATGTGTTGATGGAACAATGGGCTGTAATCTGCCAGAGATGTTTCCAGCACTCCTTTTCTATGCCACAACCCAGGTCTGTCTCCCATTTCTTTCCATGTACGGGTAAAGGTTTGGTGTCTCACTATCTAAGATCAAGGTATAGCTGCTTGGAATAATCCCCTTGGATGTTGGGTCTTGTAAGCATATATTTTCAAATGATGTTATTGTTTGGAGGGAAGGTGACCATTTAATTGTTTGGGTAACAAAGTCTTTAACCTGAAGGTACCTTAATGCGTCTTGTGCTGGTGCGCTATATACGTTTTGTATGGCTGGGAAACTCAACACTACTGTCAAGGATACCAGGATGTAGATCCTGTATGTGTTTGGAAACCCACCATTTAAATTGAGTCGATTCCATGTATCCAGTGGGGATTGTGGGATTTTCGGTAATAGTTGCAAACAGATCATAAGGAGACATACATTTGACAGAATAATTTATATTGTCCCAAATCTGTAGGGTGTGGCACTGTATGGGGTTGGGAATTTTGGAAATGTGGAGAAATCTATCATCATGTCACAATGGAGATCGTTCCTGTGCCTCTATGGAAACCCAGAGCAGGGGATCAGTGGTATTGTGGTATATTGTGAGTTGAGCTGCTACATAGTAATGGGTAAGATATGGGACTGATAAGCCAAGAAATTTTTTTTTTTTAACCAGAGTTTATGGTCACTTTAAGTTACCTATGGGTTTTGCCAAGTCGGCAAGTGGCCATACTGTCCATGCATATTCAATGTTGAGATATGCATTTGAAACAGATCATAGAATATATATAAAATTATATCATGATAGGCTCAATTCACAAAGCTTTCACACAAGGATCTTTATTTTCAGCAAGCTGTTTGTCATTTTCAGATCTCTTGGCTGTTTTATTTTTAACATAAGGACCCTTCTCCTGGTTTATTGTCTTGGTGAATTCAGCCTTATGAGTGTGGTCAGAATAAATGCTTCAATAGATGTTAGATGACAATGAAATTGCCGAAAAAATGGCTGGATTGGGAAATAATTGGATTGGGAATAACCAAGTTTGTTGGGGTATGAAGTGATTGGATGTGTTGAAAACCCTGTCTGATTGCTTTGTTTTTACTTTGATAAGCCAGCAAACCTCCTCCAAACCCCTGTAAAGACTAAATATTAATGTTTACAAGGTGGCCAGTATACAATAAATGCTAGCGATATATACAATGGAACAGTTTGTACAATTTCCTTACAAAGTCTCTTACATTTTCCATAACTATGTAACAGGAAGGCCTATATATTCCATTTGTATTCAGTCAAGTATATCCTTGTACTATGTAATTGTTGATAAATCCAAAATAGATTATATAGTCAAATTGTAAATGATATGGTCAGCTTACTGTTTGTGGTTCCCTAAAAAGAAAATATAGTGTATGTATATTGAACATATATTTTGAATTGTTATAATTTTTATTTGGAATTTGATTTTCACATTTACACACTTCCACTTTATTTTTTTCATGTTTCAATCATTTTATTGTAGAAAATATAACAATAGGCACACCCATGCAGGGCTAAATCATCTGATAGAATGTATGAACATTTAGAGTAAAAGGAAGAAGCATATAGAGTATATCATTCAGTTTTCAGGTCCCAATGGAGGATGTCTTTTAAGCCCTTTATGAGTTGAGTAGCAGGTGGTAGGTCCAAGCTACCATATACATAGGTAGATGGACTTGTGCAAGACAAATTGGGATAGTCTAAAAAAAAAAAGTAAGAGGGAAGCAATTCTAGTGAAAACTGGAAGGGGAAATTAATCTGGAAAAAACTGCATGAAAACAAAGCAGAAAGTCAAGGTAGGGAAGTGGAGGCAATGTGAAGGAGGGGGAAAAGGAGAGGGTACAAAAGGATGCATCCCCTATAGACTCGGGCCAGAGGATCAAGTAAATGCACTATAGGCAACTTAGGCTCAGGGGCGGACTGACCATTTGGAAACTCGGGCACTGCCTGAGGGCCCAGGGTCAGTAGGGGGCCCCATGAGATGCCCCTGGTACCTTTTTTCATAGGCTTTTTTGAGTTTGGGCAAGGACACAGGGGCCCCGTGATCCCCTATTGCCCGGGGGCCCCATGAGTTGTCAGTCCACCCCTGCTTAGGCTAGAAGGGTTAAAAAATGTAAAGGCATAAGCAAGCCACGGTTCCCATAATTTGATAAATTCATGTTGTGAATCATTAAGGATGCTTTCCAGTTTGCCACGGTTTCCATATTTTAATTAATTCAGGTTGTGAATCATTAAGGATGCTAAACAGTTTTCTCTCATTAGCCAGTACTGAATTAACATGGTCTTTAATTTCTTGAAAAGGGACTGTGGTATTCTTCCAGGCTTTGGCTATCATTTGCTTCGCAGCCATAAACAAGCATGTGGCCAATTTCCGTTGGTGTGAAAAAAGGCCTGGACTCGTGTGATGGAGGGCCATCCTCACATCCTTGGGGATTATTACATGAAACATGGGTTTGGAGGTGGCTGAAGTTCTTGACCAAAACACAGCCAGCTTCTGACAGGACCACCAACTGCATAGTACATCATTGCATTGACTGCATCCCCCATAGTACCCGCCACTGTAATTTGGGTTGGTATGGGGTATTTTCTTTTTTCGTAAAATTCTGTTTATTAGCAATTTTTCAGAAAACATACAGATGAACAAAAGAAAAAAAAAAAACTATGGCTACAGCCAACAAGCCAAGTAGTCATACAATTGCAAAATAAAGAATACAAAAGAGGAAACCTTGCCCGTGTTGTACAGGGATCGTCAGTATACATGTCCATTCAGGAGAAATAAGACACCCCCTACCCAAAAACACACAGGTTACAAAGAAACACTCTCCACCAGGGGTGGACTGACAACTCATGGGGCCCCCAGGCAATAGGGGATCATGCGGCCCAAACTCAAAAAAGCCTATGAAAAAGGTACCAGGGGCATCTCATGGGGCCCCCTACTGACCCCGGGCCTTCGGGCAGTGCCAGAGTTTCCAAATGGTCAGTCCGCCCCTGCTCTCCACACCATTTCTGCAGATAAAGGCATATTGTCATAGTCCAGAAACATGAATTAACTGGCCAACAAGACCGCTAAGGAACAATCCAATATAATTATTATGGGAACCAAAGTTCAGTACTCCTCAATCTGCCACTGAACGCGGGGAAGCAACCCAGCCACCCCAGACTTTATCAAATTTATGGGGTACCCTTCTATTAGCATATAAGTGGCATTATATAATGGAAGGGCCTTATTTATAAGAGCTTTCCAAGCTGCAACAGTTGGAGCCTCGGGTTTCTTCCAGAACAGTACAATAAGTTTACATGCATAATAGAAAAGGAGAGTGAAAAAAGTACAAATGGTCTTAGTGGGGGCCAACTCATCCACCAAACTCAGGAGACAATGCCATGCAGATAGACTAAGGGGTATATTAGTGACTGACAGGACACACTGAAGCACTCCGGACTACTATTGCTGTATGGCAGGGCAGTCCCAGAAAACATGCATAAAATCAGCCCCAGAAGCTGGGAAATGCTAGCAGGAGGATGAGTCCTTACCAAATATTTTAGCTAGCCTAGCAGGTGTCAGATAAATATTTATAATGCATAAGCTGATCCTGAGCAGAAATGAGCCTGACAAAGGGGACATCCCAAATGTCGTCCCAATCCTGGTATGGGCTATTTAACCTGGGACTGAGTACCACCAAAAAAGGACCTTGTAGGTTGCCTCTGGGATAGATGCATTAAAGGAACAGTTTTGGACCGGATTTTACCCCAGTCTGCCAGTTTTAGGGGTACATATATTTTTTGTTTATTGTTAAGGAAGGATAACTTTACTTAGAAATTCCCTAAACCCAAGAAATGTCTATACCAGCCTTCTCGACCTCGCTGAGAAAGCCAGTAAGGTTGGACGGGAGTTATTTGTGTACATGAGAAACTAGAGCAATCATGGGCACTTTTTTGGGACTTGTATCTAGTGCAAGAGCAAGTTTTTTTTTTTTTTTTTTTATACCAGCTGTAAGGCTTGCCTTGTGTATCTGCACTTGGCACCTATTACTTATTTTTGCACTTATTTATCAAGGGCACTTGCACAGAACATGTGGTTTGTTGTTTTTCCCACAGAGATAGCGAGTGCAAGATATTAGAGCCTGCCTGATGTCAGGGATAGGATTTGATGTCTTTGGGTCTTTCCTCTTCTCAACCAGGGGCACTCTTCAAACGAGCCCTTTCACCAAGTACTTGGTATACAAACTTCAGCCTAGATAGACCAAAGTATATTTTATCCCTGTCAGGAGCCTTGAGGGATTGGGGCCCTTCCTCTTCGGAGGATAGACCATTTGCTGTACCTCTGTGCACTTTGTGTTCTGTGATTTCACAGTTCACTTTGCTTATTCACAGGAGATCATTTATGCACAGGGGCGGACTGACCATTTGGAAACTTGGGCACTGCCCGAGGGCCCGGGGTCAGTAGGGGGCCCCATGAGATGCCCCTGGTAACTTTTTCATAGGCTTTTTTTTTTGAGTTTGGGCAAGGACACAGGGGCCCCATGATCCTCTATTGCCCAGGGGCCCCATGAGTTGTCAGTCCGCCCCTGTTTATACATCGTACTTTGGAGCTCATTAAAAAATTAATGGCACTTATGTGATTTCTGTGAGTGTTCCTTATAGAGGAGGCTGCTGCCTTTTCAGAGTTCTTTGTCAAAATCTCACATAACTTGGAAGCATGTTGATCTGCAAAGAGAGACTGTATGGCAGCAGCTTTGGTAACTAATGTAGCCATTTTGCCTACAAGAAGAAAACACGTTAGTTCGGCTCTAACTACAAAAACCTCTTTTTCTAGCAGGACGATAGAGGATGCAGGAGATTTACTAGGTGGATCCCTTTGAGAACGTGTGTGTGCACGAAACTCATCAGGAGGAGCCTATATGCTGATGTCACATTGCTGGGTCCACGTGATGGTCCGTCGGCCTTCTTTGTAAGTACTTTTTATCCATTGATGATTTTATGCTCCATGTGGTTGCTATCTTTTTATTAAAACATACTACACTATATGATACTGTCTCCGGACTCAGTCTATGAGCTTGCCCTCTAGGAGGAATCCCTTTCCTTGGTTCACTGTGTGTTGGAGATGGAGACTTGGCTACTCTACTTTTGATTGTTCATTTGGTGCATTACTGGCTACTGGAGAGATCCCACCTTCAACCGGGTCACCGGCAGGAGGAACAAGCAGGAACACCCCTTAGTGTCATTCTGCTCTGGGCTTGCTTGCTACTTATGTCTGGTGCAGGGGGGGCGGACTGACCATTTGGAAACTTGGGCACTGCCCGAGGGCCCAGGGTCAGTAGGGGGCCCCATGAGATGCCCCTGGTACCTTTTCCATAGGCTTTTTTGAGTTTGGGCAAGGACACAGGGGCCCCATGATCCCCTATTGCCGGGGGGGGCCCCATGAGGAGTTGTCAGTCCGCCCCTGGTCTGGTGAGTGCATTATGGTGGAGGTGCAGTGCGGAAGTCACTACATTTTTGTTGATTTGATCACATCACTATTTTTGGGACTATTATCATATTTAGAGGACTTATTTATTTTCATTTGTTATGTTATACCATCTATTTTGTTTCTTCATTGGAGTATTCACTATTCTCGATTTCTTTTTTTTATGTTTCCTTTTTCTTTTATGATCATACTGGTCATCATTATAACACACATTTTTTTATTAGTGCTGCACAATGATATTTTAGGTCGATTTACTAAAACTGGAGCACTCCGAATCTGGTGCAGGTAGCCAGTCAACTTCTAATTTCAGCTTGTTCAATTAGGCTTTCACAGTAAAACCTGGAATCTGATTGGTTTCTGTGCAGAGTTGCATGCTTCACTTTTAGTAAATCTTCCCCCATGTGTCCAGATCATCCATTAATCAATAGCTCTTACTTGTCCAAACTGCAGAATTTATAAGCTGCAATATAACCAAATTTTTTATTTTGGGTTTAATGCTACTTTTAATTCTTTCTAAACTCCTGATATGTAGACTTAAGTAGCTTTTCTGATACTATAAGGCAGGTTATGTACAGACATGTCATGCTAATAAACAAACAAGCTTTAACTCACACAAACCATGGGACATTGATACAGTAATCAGTTAATTTACCAAGGAGACCATAGAAGATGGGAACCATTGTGTTCTGCAGGGAACATGCTGAGTAAGGGGTTTGCTGGGGGAAAACATCTTATGTAATACAGACAGAATTGTGTGTTTTTACTTGCAGGCATAGATCACATGCGGAAGGTGTGAATGCATCAACGTGACCGTACATCTCAGAGAGCTGCAAAAATAAATAATTTTATTAGTCATGCTATCTGCATGTGCCCACTGCGTGTCTGAGAACATGATCATTTACCATTCGCTTTGGGTTGATAACTTTGGAGGTTAAAATTGAATTTATCCCATTGCAAAAAAAAACCCAAAAACAAATGTAATTATACTAATATAAGCAATATTTTGTATTGATAGTATTTTAGTAAACATATATTTAAAGCCTATTTAAACCCTAAACAAAAAATGTAATTTTTTAGTTTATCTATTCTTAGATGTGGTGGCTGCATTATTTTGTTTATTCAGGCTTTATTTCCTATTTTCACCTACTAATCCTGCGAATAGCCCCCTCTACACCCCCTTATTTGGGCCAGGGGGTGTAGAAGTACTCACACTGTCCTTTTCCTGTAGCTTAATGGGTTGTAGCTGCTTTCAGGTCTTACGCTGGGCTGGCTCCTTCCCTGCTGACATTGTGTCTCCTAAGTAGACTGTGGGACAATGGAGGTCCTTCTATCCAGCTTCAGCCTGTGGTCAGATCCCCCTGGGACCCCCTCCCAGGCTCCACGCCAGCAACACCTTCCTCACTCCATCTTCCACCCAACTCCAACAATTCCTGCTGATCAGGCTTTCCCACATTTAAGGTTGTTCTAGCAACCATGCCAGGCCTCCGGCCTGGGGATTGGCCAGGTTCCCTCAAACATGCAAATCTATGCATCCTCCTCTGCCCCTCTTCTTGAAAATTCCAGCAGTTTCTAGAAGGGTGGGAGGGCTCCAGAAGCCCTGACCTGTAGAGCCTCCCAGGCTAACCTGAAGTGACATTGCTCACTCACTCCCAGGCTAACTTATACCCAGGCTTCTAGCAAGCCTCAAATTAACCACAAAAATTCTATCCAAGCTAGAGGGTACTTAACATTTTTTTTTCTTGGGTTTAGAAACCCTTTAAGCTATTTTTGCAGTGCTAAGTAATGCTTTTACCAGCTGACAGCTATGTTTTTGTATTTTTGGATACCCAGACCTTGCGTCATTTTCTTCCTTTGTTGCTTCTGTATTATTCTTCTGCAGTGTGGGCAGGGTTAAACTGATGTTCATAAACTCAGAAGTGCAGCAGCCATCGTTAACCTCCCTGGAGGTATTCCCGAGTGTAGCTCGGGGAAAGTTTCAGCACCACAAGCGGTAACCCCGAGCTACACTCGGGAATACTCTGCAGCGCTGCTCCGGGATCTCTTCTTCACTTACCTTGTCCTGCGCTCCTGCGATGTCCCTCCTGCAGTGTCCCCTGCAATGTCCTCCGGCGGATGCTGGCATCTGTCTTCTGGGTTCTGTTCCCTGCGACCTCAGGACGTACGGGGGACGGAACTGGCGGGAAATTTGAAAGTTGTAAAAGTGACATTCACTAAATTCACTAAAATCACATAGTATAACATTCCTGTATCAAACCATTTCACATACATTTTGTCCCGAGTGCTTTGTCCTGTGCCCTGCCTGCATTTTTACTGTTCTATCTGCCTGGAAACTGAGAAATGTCCATGGCGTCCAAAAAGCGTCCCTTTAGGTCAAAAGCGGTTTTAGACCGGCTAGAGAACAGCGATAGTAAATCTTACAGAATTGAGTGATAATGATTCGTGGGGGAAATTCATCATCAGACACTGAAAACGATTTTGCGACTTTGCTCAGTGATGTGCGAACTTGGCGTTATATTTCAAATTTCAGTGTTTTTGGTTTGATTATATTATTTAATTAAATTTTATTAG